CAAATATGTATGCGCCACACATTTTCATTACCATTATATTTGTGTGTGGGCTATGATACTGCCTGGGTGCCCAGACCGAAACAGGAGGTTTTCTTAGGGAGCCACGCCCCGAGCCCTTGACCTAAAGGTCTGACCCACAAGGCAGTGGAGCATCGTAAGGAGATGCAGTCCCATGGTAGCCGGTGACCAAAAATTGGTTTATACGCCATTTGTTCCCGCAGGATACTGGAGCCCATTTGCATCATTGATTTGGTTTGGGATCCGGTTAAAGCGCTGGACATCCGCTTTTCGTCCCCTCAATTTCGTAAACAACACCCCCGTCACGAGAAGGCAGTGAGTAGGACTTCCCTGGCAGAGGCTATATACGCGTGGCCACGTGAGAGCATTTCGAGAGGGAGAGAGGGCGGGCCCACCCCACTCTCGGCCATACCAGGGCATTTGGGGGCAGATGTTATTAGTGCTATTTATAGACGGAATGTATTAAAACTTAATAATATTTCTTTAATATGAAATAGTATACCGTTACTACAGGTTTGTTTCTTCGGTATAATGCTAATTTGATTCCTTATTTGGTTCAAATTTATAGTGCTTTTTGTTCAAACTATTCGCATTGAAATATGCTGTTTATTTGCTATTTGTTATCTCTGTACTAGTAAAACTCACTAGTATGTTTGTTACAGGTTACCTGTATGACTGTAAATTATTCTTCGATGGACACTAATCACTCTTATGAATGAAAATCCATAAATTTATAAAATATTATACTCAACATCTTGTTTCGTTAATTATTTGTGTTATCCAACATCTGCATCACAACAACTAAGTAATGCTCCATTACACCTGCCAATAATATTACTAAACATGTATAAACGTATCTGTTAATGTTTCACATCTTAGTAATTTAAACCTAAATCACCTTTGAGATTTTTTCAGGCCTAAAATCGCTTGTTCTGTTTGCCTTCAACGAATTTCTTCATCCGGTTTTCTATGACTCTAACTGGGGAATATCCATCGGTTCATCCAATATTAATTAATTTTCATGACGTTCTTCTGTTGACAAACTTTGTTTAAATAGACTCCAAAAACTTTAAGAGACAGACTTCCTTTTGTCAAAACATCCAATAATATAGATCAGTGGTATGTCTGGTCAGAGTACTGCATAGTTAATTTAATTACTGTTCTTTTTTAAATTTCCAGGTTGATAATTGTTTGTTAGTAAAGAGCCAATTAATTTCGTTTATACATTATTGTCGATTATTACATCTCTGATTAATTCGAAATCTTACGTATTAAATACTGATACTCTAGGATATCGGTGAACAAGGTGAACTTAAACATTTTTGAATTATCGAACAACGATTCAATGAACATCATTATATAAACCAGTGTATGAACACAATTTGGTTTTTGCTAATGTCAACCTTGAATGACAATATAATAGTTTTGATATAATTCTTGATAAGTTTAAAGTTATTATAATATCATTTTTTAACACAAGTAAAGCCAATAAATATAACTTATTTTTATGGTTCTTGATTCTTTTCATGATGTTAGTGTTTGTAACCTAAGTGTAAATTGTTGATGGAATATAATATACTGTCTCGTAAATACAGTAGTAATCTGTAGTAAGGTCGGACTTATAGTTTACTTAACAGCCAGTTGCTTATGTTGGGTATACAAATATAATAATTACCTAGCAGTTTATTGAAGGTGAAGTCATATTTTAATGTCGTACAACGATTAAAAAGTAAAAAGCAACTCAATTTTTGCTCTTATATTATGTTTCTATGTTATGATGTGGATAGAGCTCACCAGTAACATATTCTTATGACATGAATTCCCATTCGACGGCGAACATCGCAGCCTCAAATGGTACGAAAATATCTTTCTATTTAGTCCAAACCTGCAGAAACCCTTTGACCACTGAATGTACTTTTGAATTATTGGTTTGTTCTACATAATTATCACCACTCTTTTGTTCAAAAGTTTTTATTATTTTAATGATGTAAATTTGTATTCTTTTTTATTCGTTCTTCAGTTCGTTAATCAATTCTCTTTATTAGTTTTAGATTAATACAAACAAGAAAGAATACCATGCTGAAAAAAAGTTTGAATTTGTGTACATTTCCAAATTGTTACATTTCAAATGTGATTGATCAACTACTAATCAGATCTAAACTTAATAATAACCAATGTTATCAACCCCAGTACTCAACTACACCTGTTCAGAATGTTGTAAACAATTCTGCTGAACTGACAACTGATAAATCTCCATATCCAAAATATCTGTCTTGGACAGATCCACATGAATTGGCTCACTATCTTAGTCAGCGTATTGTAGCTTTAACTAAACATTTTGTTGTGATTGATAAACCACCTAATCTTTCTGTTTGGGGTCACTCACTAGCCAGCCGTGAAGCTATTTCAATGATTAATCCTAAAGTAAGAAAATGGAGCCATGTTTCTTCGTAAAAAATGGCCAAACAATTTGTTTGAAAACTATCATTGTAATAAAATAAATCAGGGAAGTAGACCTATATAATATCCTTGGAGTTTTATGTTAATTTATAGTATTCTATACTTCCTGAGCTTAAGCATATCATTATTTCACCATTCCAGATACATTTGTTGTTTGAATAGTGTCAATGAATAAACTGATTATGTCAAAGCGTTATGAATGAGAATTGTAAAGTTGGATTTCCTGGTTTGAATTACAAAGGATTTCTACTAACATCAAATTGTAGTCTTTATGAGATTTGTATCAGTCAAAAATATCTAGACTTTATTATCTTTTTGTGGTAAAATGAAGACTCATTTATTTTTCTGATTGTACTTCACTAGCCTTCTGCTACTATAAGAATCAGCTTTCGTTTATATCCTTACTAACTTACTAAAATTCATCAACAGACTTACCAAGTGTAAATTAGTGATGTGACGTTCATGTTTTACCGCTAAACATTTGTAGAAGATAACATGAGATATAATCTTATATTTCGGGATGTATTTTGGTCTAATACTAAACAGCCTCGAGTTGGCCTGATAGAATGTCATGTATAAGTTGCTTCAATTTCTAGGCCAGTAAACGTAATATACTATTTGTGGAAATGTCCATGAACAATGTATGTTGTATAGGAGATTTCAACATTATTGATACATACGTAAAACAAACCAAGGATCACATTAGTTTCCAAAGATTTATAGATTTATTTAAAGTACTCTGAACGTTCGATGACCATTCTTTCAAGGTCGTTTTGTTTGAGATCAGTTACCGTAATTTAATTTCTGTGTAACGTTGATATACTACAAAGCCTAATGGAATGGGACTTTTATCTACCTAAAACAGTGAAACGTCTTTTAATACACATTGTTGCAGTCTCAATTCTTAATATTTACCTTAAAAGTGCTTTCCTGTATTTAAGTAGGTAAATAATTGCTGTTATTTGTATATGTCTTTAAATCTTGCCCAACATCAATCATGTTTAATTAGTTTGCTCTCCATGATCAAACTAAATAAATAAACATACTTCTGGTCTTAATTTTTGACAGAATTGTTCAATGATGCTTTACAAGTTTTCCTCTCAATTTGTCATTTGTTTACAAGTCAGTTTTAATATTTGATACATTACTATTCGCCTTGTTTTCTAACAATTTTAATTTTACTTATTTCTTTATTCATTCTCATTAATGTTTTAATCATTGAACTAGTTATACAATGCATCAGATCTTGGTATAAATGATTGTTTACCACAATTAAACACTATAATCACATCGTTGGAACGGGAACAACAGGATACTCCTAATGATAATTCATCGAATTCATGTGGATCTATTGAAATTCCTAAATTGTATATCATTGAATCTTTGCCAGCTGCTTATTCCGGTCTCATTTTATTGGGTAGAAATGAAAAATATACTAATGCTGCTCGTAAATTTTATAAAACTGCGATGCTTGGGGGTGTAGGTTGTTTCTTTTTTTAATTTTAATTTGAAACTTTTCATTTATTATATTCTGCAAGAACAATAAGTCTTAGTGCGAATAAACGTTTTTGATGAAATCTTCATCAGGCTTTACAGTTGTAAATCTAAAGCTAACAGTATGTTGCAATAGACACAATATTAAAGTTGAATTAATCCACGTCATCGTTTATTCTGGTTAGCGTTCTTTTGCAAGGTTATTTTCTGCGAGATGGGGTTTCCGACCATATGCCCAACTCTCCTTCTTTACCCGGGCTTGAAACCGGCAGTAACCTTAGGAGTTATAAACGCACGTGAATTTGTAGTGCCTCACTAGAGTCTTAAATACGGGACTCGGATAAACAACAAAAATCGATATTGAAACTTTCTAAAGACATAGCCAACCCTATCTGTTGTTGAGTGGAGAATGATAGTGGGCGGTTTATTCTTTTCCGTGAGGAGTAACAGGAGTAAGTAAAGTAAGTACTCCATATCATCAATTGAAAATGGCAAATTTCTCGTCGACTCAGTCTTAAATGCCGTCTTCGGTAATATTGAGTAAAGATCATACATAAAAGTTAGGGAAAACTATACAGCTTAATATGATAAGATCTAATCAACAAACTAAGATCCTATGTAAAAAATCATGACAAAATGAAAATTAGTATGAGGGGTTTGTAGAATTCGTCAGTTGAAATCACGAATTGGAATTGCGGTTGCCTCCCAAGATCATCAAGGCCACTACCGATCCAGTTTTTTCTAAATCTCCCAGGTAAAACTATCTATAGAGTAGGGAAACGGAAGGCGATAACCGCTCTCATACCTTTGATATCACGTAAAACTGAATAGGTCTCATGTCCATCCGTTTTTTGTTCTGTTTGCGATTTGAATACAATTAACAATCATAGGTTCAAGTTTAATGATACTAGCACACCATTCATCGCATTTAAGCAACTCGACTTTTCACTTTTATTTGGATATTAATTACTTCATAATATTTATGTTATGGCCTTAGCTATACGATTATCGCAAAGTACGGTTGCGAATTTAGATACGCTGACTTATACAATCAGACTAATGACACTTGCATCCATACGGTCAGCCTAGAATTCTTATTGGTTCTTCTGCTTGGCTCTGCCTGTTAAGTCCAAAACTCCAATCTCAGCCTCCGCTATACGAATCATATATTTCAGACATACTGGGTTTATGTACAAAAAAATCAGACCACATCACACTATAAAATGAAAAATACCAATTTGTACAGGATCAAGCTAAAAGTGGTTGTGATTGTGAGAAACTGTTACCAATAGATTGAGAATAGTAAATCATATAACTGTAATCAATAGGTCAAATAAAAGCTTATAATAAAAGGAATATGAATACACATAAGTTAGTTACTTAATAGCCATACAATAAGAATATTCGTATAATATTAGTGCATAAGTAATTCCTAACAGTTACCATTCATTTATTCTCGTCTGGATATAATAATTTAGTGTAGTGCCTCTTTTAGTTATAGAAAATAAACATTCATGCTAGACACTAACCAAAAATGTTATTATTAATATATGATTGGTTAATTTCATCATTATGTCATAATACACGATCGATAAGTGCTGATCTGTCTTTGTTCCTCTCATTTCTCCATCCTGTGAAATCAATTATGATAAATTTTGTGGAAATTTTTACTATAAGTGTTTTGTAGTCACGAATTGTCTTTTTTGTTTACTGGAATTTCAGTGATTTTAGTGATATTCTTTATCTGTTTGTAGTGAAAATCCTCAAACTACATAATATTTATTTAATTTCTTATAAAAGAAAGTCTTATATGGATGCACATAACTTTTTACAGTGACAATGCCATGACTTCCATTTTATGCATAGTCTGTACGGTTTTACTATTTGGAATAAGTGATAAAAAAACATGGATACTAGTCAATGTATTATGGAAGGCCAGAGAACACCACAGATCTGATTCGTCCCAACATGGGACTCTCCAGCAATGGACACTCATAACTTCGAGGCCCAAACCTAAGACCCTCAGGTCTCTCCGGGGGCGCGTTGCCTTTAGACTATTGAGTTAGTCTCCTATGGTTCACATTTCCAACTTGCATAAGTTCACTACATACCGAGACAGCCTTCAGTATCCATTGTTCGGTAACTGCCTCGGTATGGGGATGGTCGAACTTAATAAGCCACGTCCTTTCACTGGGATGTCAGACGTTTAACTCGAAACGATTGTCTAGCGACTCCTTATCTTAGTGTTTCCATAGCTGATATCAATCGGCGACATAAAATTAACTTCAGTTCAAAATAATCTGTACAGATCTATTACCTCGCGCGCGAATTCCTGATCTCTAGACCACTGAACCGAGATCCACTTGTGTTAATATCCAACTCCTATCAATTCGTGGTATTGTGCAACTATCTTTTGTTACCTGCCATGGGTAACTGTCTCACATCTGACATATTAGGACGGAACAGCTATCCAGTGCTTCTAGGTCTTCAATGGCAGTCTAACTAAGATTCATGACTTGTAAAAACTATGAAAATTTAAGTTTTGTTGACTCAATAGAAGCATTAGCAGATTACCAATTTCAATTCATCATGTTGGCAAAAGCAAATTGGATTCATAAGAGTTGACTGGTTTTTGCCAACCTACTTCGACGGAGAATGTTGTGCGATTTAAGAGTAGGTTGGACGAAAGCTAGGGGCGGCCAAATCAAAACATAGCATCAATCCATGGAGTTACTAACAATTGGACTTAGCCGTGTCAACAGATGTTGACTATTTGGTTGGAGTCCGAGTGATCATCGCAGCCAATTGTTAGACACTTTGAATGACCTGGCTCGAAATCGTTTGGAATGGCGCAGTTGCATCCATTGTTTGTCTTCCCCAAAACTTTGGGATTCTATATTCTTTATAATTTTTTTTCGTTTTTATTTCAGTAAATTATATTCAATTTTCGAGTTAGAGCTTCGATGTCTAATCTTTCCTATTACCACTGAAACTGTTACTACCTCTACTATTGTGGTATTTGGCCTAATAATTTCATCTGTTTGTGCTAATGGGGTATGAGAACTTGAAGTGATGTACAGACGTGCCAGGTATACATGGACTCTAGGATCCTCAAGGAACATATGTAGTACAAACCAATCGTTGGTCACCGGCTACCATGGGACCACATCTCCCCATGTTGCTCCACTGCCTTGTGGATTATACTTATAGGTCATGTTTCCATGGAACTTCAACTGATGTACAGATGCGCCACGTTCGTCATTGTGACTGACTTATTTCAAGCGAAAGTTAATGCTTTTTAAGCTCCGAATTTCATTTTTTAAATTTCTAATGAAATAGAGTCCTTGGGAACTATATCAAAAACTCCTAATTGTTTGTTGGGGTAAACCACAACAAATTCAGTCAAAACCAACATCATTTCCGATTGCTGCTTATGCATTACATGATCATCTGCGTGTCGGTTATAGGTGAGATTATTGTTAATTTTTATTATTGCTTTAATAAAGAGGTTTTGTGAAGATTAGTTTAGTTTGTAGGAGGTATTGTTAGTACATACTGATGAGGAGTTCCGTACTAGGATGTAATAGCTTTCCAATACTTCCTAGCCCTTAGTGATTCGTGACGAAACACTGATTTCACATTGCTTATTTTATTTTTATTTAAAAAACGGATTATTTCAACTTCATATTTTTGTAAAAAGAAATCGAGGTATCTGAAAAGAAAATAGAGTTGGTGGTGGCTTTGATAATCTGAGAGTGTGACCGAAGAGCTCATGAGAAACTTGTTTAGGGTCAAGTGTACATATGACTATTTTGTGAGAGTTTGAATGTATCAGATCTGTACTTTTCAAACTTTGCCTTCTGTCACAAATCCCGTGGGACAACATGAAGAGTGCTATTTTAGGGGTTGACCTTTTTTAAACCCTACCTTTGGTTGCAGAAATGCAACATCACAAAAGTTGCTCGTTATCTATAGGAAAGATCTTACTACCATCATAACCCGGTACAATCGGCAGTACGAATTTACCTTCGAACCTTAGACTTGTTGCTTTTGATCTTTCCTGTATCCAATCAACCGGCCTAAAATGTTCAGATACTTTTGAAGTACGAAACTGTTTCTTACCTTCAAAATGCTTCATAACTCACCATTTTGTATTCTTGTGGTGTGAACAATTGCTTTACTTCTAACACCGGTGATTATCGTATTGATATTTATCAACTGATCACTTCTATCACAGAACTCTTAAGCTAAAAATATATTCCAAACAAATTTACATTTTGAACTTGGCTTTAGATGACAATTTTATCCATAGATATAAGTCAGCAACTGAATGCATTATTCTACCAGGTAAAACCATGAAAAATATAACACAAGGGTTTTAGTTCTTTGTGGATCTTACTCCGATTAGATCGTATGATGATGTTAACGAAATGTAAATGCCATCAACCCTCGTATATAATTATCAACTTAATTCGTGTTTGAGAATAACGGAATAAAATATGTCTGATACGAGAATGAATTTCGGATACTTATATTTCATAAACTCGTTGATCCAGACAGACAATCAAAGAAACAAAGCAGAGAACCAGACTGAAGAAGGCAAATATGACAACTCTCATCGATAAAGCGTGACTTAATATTTATAGCCAGACAAAAATAAGCTAAAGATATATTATGAATAGGGTAACCGATTGACATATACTTTCACATAAAAAGTCAAGGTTATAGTTGAGTAGTTGACAAGGTCAAAATGTGATTCAAAAAGAATATGTATATTAATATGCCCAGAAGCTAGAATGACTCATTTATTGTTGACATAGCATTAGACACTACAGGTTCATCTATTTACGATCAAACAATTTGTTTAATAGCATTGAGAAAAGAAATCAACAAATTTGAAAAGATTAGGATAAGAACAGATGAAATAAATGATAAGTCATGACATGTTTAAGATTTTGACGTTAATTTACATTTAAAAGAACTCATGTAATTGTAACTGGTTCAAAGTCATGTTTCATACACTCCATTCAGTAAATCTTTCGTTTCTTTAATGATTAAAATGTACAGTCAATAACTTCATGATGTATTGTAATTTATGAGTCTATCCGCTTTTAGCACGATTCTTTGTTTACCAGACTGCTTTTTTTTCTTCAAAATTACAATACATTTCTTGCTTTGTTTTTTTAGCTTATTTATGCAGATTGACTAGCGCGTAAAAAACGATCAATCAATGAGATATATGTCTGTATATCTAAGTTGTTTTTGTTCCACGTTTTATTTTATGTCTATAATCTCTATGTTTATATGACTTTAAGGGTGTTTTTTGTCTACATAACCGATTCTTCTAGACAAATACACCATTTTTTTATATTTTGTACTTTTCTTTGTATTTTTTTGTATAACTTCTACCTGTCTCCATCTATCGATCTCTTAAGTTTGATTAAAGCTTAGTTTTTTGAATAAAATTATCAAACTTGAAAGTTTGGCGTTTCTGGTTCATTGGACTAATACACTTGAAGTCTTATAGTTCTGTGGTTAGATTCACTATGTAATAGCAACATACATTGTACAAGAACTATGGTTAACTGGTCCAGTCAGTCAGATTTCAACCGACAGGATAAAGTCTTATATTTTACTCTCAGTTTAGTTTGGTCATTCCCATAAACCTTCAATTTAACGTAGTACTTGAGCTCCATTACTAGAAGCAGTAAATTTAAGTTTCAAGGGTGAAGTTGTACTGAGGTATGATGATAGTTAAGTGCTTCTCTCAGACTACCAGCCTTTCCAGCAATTCTGCCCTTACTCAATTAAAGGTAGAAGTTAGAAAAAGTCGACCCTAAAATAGCAGCCCTTATGTTGTCCCACTGGTTTTCATCACTTGTGTTAAGTTTTGAAATATACAAATCTAGCTCATCTAAAACTTTTCACATAGCATTCTTGTATTACCTGTTTCAAACAAGTATCCCTTGAGTTTTATAGTCAAGCTCTCAAGTTTACAAAACCAACACTAACCTAGTTTTCTCCTCAGATTCTTCTCGGAGAAGGATTGTCATTCAATAGTGTGTGTAACCGGGATACGAAAACTAGTTTTATACCCCTAACAGCACGTGACATAAACCTTCACAAAGCAAATGTATCTCATGCTGCCGTTCAACCTCTTATGCAAGCTTCATTTCTTAGTGAACAAGTATTTGACAACACAATATATAATATAAGCAAAGATGGATAGTGGTTAGCAGTAGGATCCAGGATGCGCGTTTCGTCCTATTTGGGGCTCGTCAGCTGAATGTACAGTAGATAATTGATTGTTAGTTCATATGATAAATGCGTTATGATTTCATGATCACTTTTATAATTAATAAATAAATGTACTTGAAATAACCTGAGTTAATGCATATAATATAATTTTGCAGAAAAACGCAACCAGTAAAAATCATTTAAGTTACCTTAACTCTGCTCTAGAAGTTGAAGAAGAGTTATGATACCTCATACCTTAAGTCGAGATTCTTCGGAGGTCACAAGGACAATCCTCCTTTTGGTAATCAGAGGAACAAATAATACAGGTACGTGGAATAGCCAGACATTATAGAATACAAAGAGGATCATTCAAATAACTACAGAAATGAGAGAATTCAACCTTGCTTTGTTTAGAATATGCGGAACTTATTAGACACAAGCTGAACAGAAAAGATAGCTTCTGGACAGATTCCGTTGTATTCTGGTCACAAACAAGGAGAAAATGTCTCGGACACATGAAATTCCACTGATTCTACTCAGGGAATCTCACCACGCTAGCATCATCAAAGTATCCTCTAAAACAAAGAAGAAGAGGGTTACAATCAATTTCATCCAGTGATATCCCCCCCAAAAAATGATAGCAATGCAGACGATAAAGACCAGTTTTCTTAGGGGCTACAGTTCATTGTATAGACCTGTCCAAGGAAAAAGCTGACCATCGTGATGATGGATCTGAGTACCAAGGTCAATATGGAAATATCGGGTATGAAGACATCATGAGACGACATGGACTTGAAGAAAGGAACGAGAATGGCATATATATACTCGAATTTCATTTTCTTTCCTTACATATTCAACTTCTCATTAGTAAAACTATTAAGCAGTAAGTACATCAATATTCAACCATATGAATATTCGTTGTTTATTTTATTTTGACTTGTTTCCACTGTTTCCAGACCATCTCCAAATGAAATTTCGAAAAGTTTAAAATTGAAAGGTGTTATTCTAGAAAAATCTGTTCACCATACAATTCTTTCCGAGGGTTCTGAGGATTCCAGTCTTGTCAAACTTGAAACAAACAGTCTGTATCGTGGTTTACCTGAAGTCTACTTATTATATGAAGGTTGCACTGTTGTCGGAGAAACATTTCAAGTACGTTTGAATGCATGTATGTGTGTTTTGAAAAGATTATTTATGAAAGTAGCGTAGTGATTGTCGTTATTTGTCAATTTTTGGGGTTTTTATTCAGCTTCCTTTTGACTAAACTTTAAGAAAAAACGAAAGTAAGAAGATGACTACCTTATAAGGTCCATTTACTTTGGAAGTTGTCTACGGATTCACTTTCAAATTCCACCGAAATAATTATTTCCATAAATATTCTAGATACGCCTTGCTGATTAGTGGCAATTCACACAGAATTCAAGTCTCGAGTTTGTTGCTGACTCCCTCCCTTCAACCACTTAACATCAAAATATAATTCAATCAGTATCGGATCACTCAGACTGGTGACCACATTGCAACTTGGTCGATGGAATTCAATCAACACTAAGGACTAGACAAACATGACATTAGCCACCAGTTAGTAGCCAACCAAGTTATAAGCAAATATTTTTGAATAACTAACTCAGAGTTGATGTACACTCTGCGACTCGAACCCAATACCGTTCGCTTCAAACGCCATTGACGCAATACGCACAGTATGCACATGTGCTAATGAGAGACTGATCAGTTGCAATCCTAACCATCAATGGGAAGATTCAAGTAAACAATACCAGGTGAATTTAATATCCCGATTAGTTGATTTGTCTTCATTATGAATCTTTACTTAATTTCCATTTATTTTTAAATGAAATAGCTAATAAAAATAACTATTTACTTCCAATTTATACCTTTTGTTTAGGCTTCACGTCTTGTGAACACTGGGATATCACCTATTGTCTTACCGCCTAATAAAATTCGCTTAAACTATTCTATACCACTGAAACAACGTCGAATTCTTGGTCAATCCAATATTAATTTCGAAGATATACCAGTTCATATTCATCGTTCCCATTTATATCTACCTATACCATTTTATATGAATGCCTCAAATTTATGTATAAAATCATATGTTAAAAAGCCTTCACATCTTTTTAAAATCAAATCTGAAAGCTTTTCTTTAAAATCTTGTAATATATCATCAAAACCTAGTCCCTTATCATTATCTTGTGTTAAGCGGGAAGTCGTCAGTGATACAATACCGACAACAAAGACAACAACCAGTAATAATAATAATAATCGTACAATTAATTATTACTTCCTAACATGTCATTCATATGAATTGCCTGATTATTTTTCTAATACTTTAGCTCGTCTTGGAATTGAATTTGATTACGCTAATTGGTTAGAACAAAACATTATAAATAATAATAATGATAAAATTATAAATAAAATTACCTAAATTATTAAATTTCACCTTTTTTTCTTTTTGCTAATGATAATTATCAGCGTGCATAGGTACGTATATGCTTTGCACCTTCGAAGTGCAAAGTACTTCTATAAAACTGGTAGGATTATAATCCTGTACTCACCCTGGGTGGTAAGCAAATGGAAGTAGTCGAGAAGTTCGTGTATCTAGGTAGTTGCATAAGTGCTGGTGGTGGCGTAAGTGTTGAAATCAATTCACGTAAAGTGAAAGCAAGAGCAACTTATGTCAATTTGGGCCATCTTTGGCATCTTCGTGATGTTAGTCTGGTTGTAAAAGGTTTGACATACAACGCGTCAAAGAGAGGACTTTTGTTCTGTTTGTGAAACCTGGCCTATTCGAGTTGAAAATATTAGACGATTCTGTGTTTGATTATCGTTGTCTCCGAAGGATTGCTGATATCCAGTTGCAACACCATGTTAGTAATGCAGAGGTTCGGCATCGTGTGTTCAGACACAGACGATAATTCAATTGGACTGGCTTCTGTTGGTCTTTCACGACTCCCTGGTTGGGGTCCGAGAGATGGTGCTACACAGTGGCTGGAGACGTTATCAGATATGGCTCAGAATAGAAGCCAGTGGCGATCCTGCTGTAACCTTCTTTTACTTTTTTCATAAAAGGTGGTTGTAACTTCCTTAACTGGGAGAATTCTTCTGGTTTTGCCTTCCCATTTCCGCATTATTATTATCATTATTATTATTATTATTATTATTATTATTATTATTATTATTATTATTATTATTATCACACTACCTTACACTAATCTGTTCGTTATTGTTCTTTTTTTTACGCTCCTTACCTCCATTTTTTTCTCTTCGAATTCTCATTGTTTTGTGTGGCGCATATATATTTGGTGCCCTGTTGTACCAATATTTATATGTTCAAATAAACAAATAATGGTAGTTATCAACCGACAGTGTGTATATAATAAACTACTATCAATACTGTAGTAAAAGTATTATTGTATATTTTTGCCAAAATTACAAAATATCGATAGCTTAGTGGTTAAATCTTAAGAATTTGAACCGATTAGTTATAAATTTCAATCCTTTGAAAGTCACATAAGTATTTGTCATAAACCTTGATCATACAAATAATTTGGTTCAAAACCAAATCAATCAGTTCATGCTTAAAAAAAGGAATAAATTTATTAAATATTCCCATTGATTTACCACCGTTTATTTAAATGTTGATTTTATATTTAGTTTGAATATCTTGTATATTAATGTAGAACCTTGATTAGGAATGTTACATTTTGATAAGATGGCGAGTTCGCATTATTTTCAACTAAGTGTAACGTTTTATGCTTATTCACTTTACTTTCGCCTGTTACTCCCAATGGAGCATAGGCCGCTGACCAGCATTCTCCAACCCACTCTGTCCTGGGCCTTCTTTTCTAGTTCCATCCAATTCTTGTTCATTTTTCTCATGTCTATCTCCATTTCCCTGCGTAATGTGTTCTTTGGTCTTCCTCTTTTCCTTTGGCCTTGAGGATTCCATGTGAGGGCTTGTCTTGTGACGCAGTTGAGTGCTTTCCTCAATGTGTGTCCTATCCACTTCCAGCGCTTCTTCCTGATTTCTTCCTCCGCTGGGATCTGGTTTGTTCTCTCCCACAGTACGTTGTTGCTAATAGTGTCCGGCCAATGGATCTGAAGTATTTTGCGTAGACAATTGTTAATAAACACCTGTATTTTCTGGATGATGGCTTTTGTAGTTCTCCAGGTTTCTGTCCCATACAGTAGAACTGTCTTGACATTTGTATTGAAAATCCTGACCTTGGTGTTGGTTGACAGTTGCTTTGAGTTCCAGATGTTCTTCAGTTGTAAATATGCTGCTCTTGTTTTGCCGATCCGCGCCTTCACATCTGCATCAGATCCACCCTGTTCATCAATGATGCTGCCCAAATGTGTGGAGGTTTTTACATCTTCCAAATCTTCGTCAATTTGTGATTGGATTGGTGCATTCTGTGTTGTATCGGAGAATCCTGCTTTTCCCTTTGTGTATATTGAGACCTATTACTGCTGAGGCTGCTGCCACACTGTTCGTCTTCTCCTGCATCTGTTGTTGCGTTTGGGATAGAAGGGCCAGATCGTCTGCGAAGTCTAGATCATCCAATTGCATCTTAGATGTCCATTGTATCCCGCGCTTCCCTTCAGACGTTGACGTCTTCATGATCCAGTCGATCGCCAGGAGAAAGAGAAAGGGTGAGAGTAAGCAACCTTGCCTAACACCGGTCTTCACTTCGAACGACTTTGTCAACTGTCCTCCATGCACAATTTTGCAGTGTAATCCATCATATGAGTTCTGTATGATATTAACTATCTTCTGAGGCACGCCGTAGTGTCGAAGAAGTTTCCATAGTGTTGTTCTGTCCACGCTGTCAAATGCCTTTTCGTAGTCAATGAAGTTGATGTAGAGTGATGAATTCCATTCAATTGATTGTTCCACAATGATCCGTAGAGTTGCGATTTGGTCTGTACACGATCTATCCTTACGGAATCCTGCCTGTTGGTCACGAAGTTGGGCGTCTACGCAGTCCTTCATTCTGTTTAACAATACCCTGTTGAAGACTTTTCCCGGTATTGAGAGAAGAGTGATGCCCCTGTAGTTATCACACTTGCTGAGATCGCCTTTCTTCGGTATTTTGATCAGGAGTCCTTCTTTCCAGTCTTTTGGTACTTGTTCCCCATCCCAAATCTTATTGAAGAGAATGTGGAGTATCCTTGCAGTTGCCGCTACGTCTGCTTTTAGTGCCTCTGCTGGGATGTTGTCCGGTCCTGCTGCTTTGCCACTCTTGGTTTGTCTGATGGCCATGCTGATTTCTTCAATTGTTGGTGGGCCATCATTGATTGGGATGTCCGTGGGTGCTGATTCGATATTGGGTGGGTTCAGTGGAGCTTGTCGACTCAAGAGTTCTTTGAAGTGTTCTACCCACCTGTTTTGTTGCTCTTCAGTGTTGGTGATTACCTCGCCTTCCTTGCTTTTCACTGGTCGTTCTGGTTTGCGGCGATTTCCAGAGAGTTTCTTTGTCGTGTCATACAATTGTCTCATGTTTCCTTCTCATGCAGCCTTTTCCGCCGTCGTTGCTAAATCTTCCACATATTTACGTTTGTCGGTTCTGATGCTCCTCTTCACTTGTTTGTTTACTTCTGTGTATTCAACTTGTGCCTTGGCTTTTTCTGCTCTTGTTCGACTGGTATTGATTGCTGCTTTCTTGTTCCTTCTTTCTTGAATCTTATCCAGTGTATCAACAGTGATCCATTCCTTGTGATGGTGCTTCTTGTGACCCAGGACCTTATGACATGTTGAAGTGATTGCTTCTTTGATCCCCTTCCAGTTGCTCTCCATAGTAGTTTCTTCTCCATTGTGTTGATCATGAAAGGCCTGGAACCTATTGCTGAGGACTATCTTGAATTTGTTGAGTTTGTTAGTATCCTGGAGAAAGGCCGTATTAAACTTTTGTGATATTGCCGCCCCGTTTTCCAGTGCTTCTTGAGTTTCAATTTCATCTTGGCGACCAGTAAGTGATGATCTGATGCTATATCAGCTCCTCTCCTGGTTCTCACATCCTCCATCGTCCTCCTGAACTTTTTGTTGATGCAGATATGGTCGATTTGGTTTTGCGTGGTGTGATCCGATGAAGTCCATGTGGTTTTGTGAATGCATTTATGTGGGAATATAGTACAGCCTGAGACCAGTTTATTAAAGGCACATAGGTTTGCAAATCTTTCACCATTTTCGTTTCCTTCTCCCAGTCCGTGTCGTCACATGATGTCTTCATATCCGGTGTTGTCCATTCCAACCTTAGCATTTAAATCTCCCATCAGAATGGTCAGGTCCTTTGTTTGGCACTTCTCGACGATTGACTGCAGCCTATAGTAGAATTGATCTTTAGCGTCTTCATTGTAGTCGTTGGCAGGTGCATAGCATTGGATGATGTTCATTGAAATACCCTTTTTCTTTGTTTTGAACGAGGCTTTGATGATCCTTGGTCCATGAGATTCCCATCCTATAAGCGCATTTTGTGCTTGTTTGGACAGCATCAATGCAACTCCTTGTGTATGTGGTGCATTTTCTTCTTCATGGCCGGAGTATAACAGGAGCTCTCCTGTAGTTAGTCGTTGTTGTCCAATGTGTTTCACTGATCCCAAGTACCTCTAGGTTGTATCTTCTCATTTCTGCAGCAATTTGGAAGGCTCTTCCGGTGTCCCACATTGTACGAACATTCCATGTACCTAAATAAATGGTTGCTCTGGTTGTCAGAAGGGGCATCGGCCACGTAACTTCCGAAGGAATTCGGCTTTCATCATGTGGCGTCATAACTCTTCTAAATGAAGACCTTCTGACTACCACGGCAGAGTTTAGAATGTTTGAATAATTTTTTCTGGTTAGCGTTTTTTTAGCGAGTTAGTTTTCTACGGGATGGGGATGCTAACCCCATGCCCAACCCTCCTCCTTTATCCGGGTTTGGGACCGGCAGTAGCCCCCGGAGGGACTCCAGGCGCAGTTAAACCAGTTTTCACACTATTATATATATGGATAAGTAGTTGGCACAAAGATAACTTCGAATAATGTTATAAAATTTGGAATCAAATGGGAAGTACAAACAAAATGCACTAAAAAAAATTGTAGAGTCGTGTTCATTTAGTGACGACACCTGAAATGATTGATGGAGATCACATTTACACCGAAACCACTAAGTCTCTCATAAATAATCGCAGGTGAAAATAAATTACCTAAAATCCTATTCATAAGGCTTTGAACTGCAATAATAAATAGGTATTGTTTATTCATTCGCTAGTAGTTTATAGTATTTTATTTCATTTAAATTAAAAAGGGTAAGCTGGCCTCAATATTGTCTTTACATAAAGTGACAATTTGTCAAAAGCTTAATTTTTACATGCATAAAAGAGCATTA